TGCGGAAGGTGCATCACCTGGAGAGACGCCGCATCTTCCGCACTTCTCCACAGGGAGATGCGGCATTTCTCAGCATCTCCCGCATAGATTAAAGTCTAAAAATAGAAAAAAACTCATCGGGAGATGCTGGGAGATACCGATGTGGAAGATGTCACATCTCCCTGTGGAGAAGTACGGGAGATGCGGCGTCTCCTTGTGGAGGTGCGGCATCTCCGCAGGGAGACGAATCGCCAAGCATCCCCTGGACCAAAATTTTTTGGTTTTTACCCTGGGACCCCTCCGAGAGATGCGTCTCCCTATGGAGATGCGGCATCTCTTGCATCGGCATCTTCCAGCATCTCCCGATGAGTTTTTTTCTATTTTTAGGCTTTAACCCATGTGGGAGACGCTGATGCAAGAGATGTCGCATCTCCACAGGAAGTCGCATCTCTCGCAGGAGTTCCTGGGTAAAAACCAAAAACCTTCGGTCTAGGGAATGCTTGGAGATGTATCTCCATGTGGAGATATCGCACCTCCCGCTCTTCTCCACAGAGAGATGTGGCATCTCTTGCATCGGAATCTCCCGCATGAGTTAAAGCCTAAAAATAGAAAAAAAGATTTCATTGGCAGATGCCAGGAGATATATCTCCTGCATCTCCCTGCAGTTCTCCAGCTTCTTCGATTTCCTGGATATGTGACACTGCTGCTTTCTGACATTGGCTTTACGCCTTCATTGGCTGAATTCTCAGCATTCAGAAAATTGATGGATTCATAGCTGTCTACAGACAAACTTTGAATGATTGAACAATATATAAAAGGCCTCAAAGTTACTGAATCAGACTCCTGCGAGAGTCTCATTGGTGGATTTTAATCAAAGAATTAGAGTGCCGTAAAATAGATTAACATGTGAAGACTCATCCTTTCGAGATAGAGAATTGTACTGCAAGCCACACAGACTGCAAATTTAAACATCCATTTTCTGACTATCTTTCGGTGAAGCTTTCCATTCTAAGTGTAAGATTTTAATCCCATTTGTAACTCATTTCTTAGCTATATCTGTTTTTAATCTCTCTTTATTGCGAAAAAATATTACGAATATACAAAGCGATACTATAGAAAATTCCATAGATGATGAAGAAGAAGGAGAGATTCGTAAAGCAAAGCTAAACATAGACGATCAAAAGTGGAGGGAAATGTTCATTGCATATAATTATAAGTGAAAGAGAAAATACCATCACATATACGAATCTGAGAGAAAAGAAAAAATCTGTTATGCACGACTAACAACAAGAAAAGAGAAGAAAAACCCAAGTACATATATATAATCATAAATAGGAAAAATCCTTAGCACTACATCTGAAGAAGATTTAGGTTACAACACGAAGTTCTATTTCTATTGGCGCATTACTCCACTAAAACATTTATAGGGCGATATAGCTATGATTAAAACTTTCGTCCCAAACTACCCTAGAAGAAAAAGACGAAGATGAATACCCTGCCTTTCAACTGCTTTGCGATATAGGATGCTCTCTGAAGACAGTTTCGAAGCCCTAATGTTTTTCACACAACTATTACTAGCTGTAACTCTGGGGAGAAAGCAGGCCTGACTCAGAGTTCCTTCCGCTTAATCAGTTAAGCTCGCCGCACAAGTTGACTCACCACATAGTAGCCATAATGGCTTTTTGTATGTCGATCACGTATTCAGAGGGGCGTCACATATCCAGGAAATCGTGGATGCTGAAGAAGTGCAGGAAGATATGGGAGATGTCAAACTATCTACTAATAGACGATTACATTACGGGTGTTCTCACGTGGGTTAATGTTTTCTCCCACATCCACACTGACCAGATGCGGCTGTAGGTGTTTCTGTATGTATTCGTGTTTTCACCCTCATCCATACTCATGAGATGTGGCTGTGAGTATCCATGTATGCTTGTGTTTCCTCCCTTATCGTCGCTGTAGAGATGTGTTTAGAGATGTCCAATCTTCTGGAGAGATGTGCTTGGAGATGTGGCATCTTCTGCAAGAAATGGGTCTTCCGCTGGGATCTCGGGCTAAAAATAAAATAAAACGTTTTCATCCGCAGATGCGGTATCGTCTGGAGAGACGCCATATCTTCAAGCAATTCACCCCACGAGATTCGGCATCTCTAAAGAGACTCGGTATCTAAAGGAGATACAACATCTCCTGCATCTCCCTGCACTTCTTCAGCATCTCCTGTTTCCTGGGTATGTGGTACTACTTCGTAGTCAGTGAACCATTAAAAGGTAAGCTATCCTACGGAAACTATCTCTCGAAAACGTTAATTTCTGTTGACTCTTGATCCATCAATGTAGTTTTGAGGAAAATGAGGTTCGGTTTTGGGTTCCTCTCTCTAAAAAACAATATTTCATTATGATAGAACATCAAACAATCGCTTCTCCAACTGAGAAATGTGATTTTAATTTTCTATCAATCAGATCACAGACAAATCGATCAAAAATATCCATTCTTCAAGTTGCCCTTTTGGGATTGAGAATGACTTTATGTGGCTGTTTAACAATGTGTAGCATAGAAATGTGCTTTTACTTATATCTATACAAAATAAATAGTTAAATATAGAGAAGAGGCTTGACACGAATAGTATTACATTTAAAGTCCAGTAGTTCAGTGAGTTGAAATAGCAAACTGAAACTGAAATCCAAACACAATACCCACACTAAACCCAAACCCAAACCCAAACTCAAACCCAAACCCAAACTCAAATACCCAAACCCAAACCCAAACCCAAACTCAATACCCAAACTCACCAAACCCAAACCGTTTGGGTTTGGTGCATGCCTAGGCCCACCCGTTATATTGAACCACAAAGAAGTATATGAAAATACAAAGTAGACTATTTACTTCTAAATGAGATAGGTGTGAGTGTGGGTGGAGATCTTGTTCACGCGCTTGACCTATACTCACACCTGCACCTACACCCTTCTTGCTATAAATACTCGTACTGGTCAAATTGTTAATCAATAGGGAAACGACACATAAACGTCTTTCGTTATTTTAATAAATAAAGTTAATTCGATATTTTATTTAAGATTTTACATTCCTCATAGTTTTTCCTTGGATACAGAAGGAAATCTGTGACTGACAAATGTTGGAATACATCAAGTAGAAAAGAAAAACAAAATCGTTTTCGGATATTCAAATAATTGATTTTAGATATTTAAATATTCAAAAGGTGAATGCACATTAACATTAGGTGAACCATTTATTTCTGGTAATGATCTATCACATTTTTGTAAACTAATTGACATTGTTGTATCAAGTGATGGAGGAAATATATATATGTCGTTGATGGATATTGCAATTCTCGTATTGTCAAATTTGATTCAAAAGGAAATTTTTTAAAAGAATATAAGTACAATGCCTTAAGGTGAACATCAACTTGTTATCCCACATAGTATTATTCTTATTGAAACATTAGATCTTGTTTGTGTTGCTGATAGAGAAAAGCAACGGTAAATATTTTATTGTAATTCATGCTTTGATAAAAAATTAATTTATTAAATAATAAAATTGTTTGTTTCGATGCTGGACTTGATCATGATGGTGAAGTTAAACTTTTTATTGGCCATCCATTACTGAATACTGTTTATACAGTCAATTATAATGCAAATAAACGTAAATTAAAATTGAAGAATTTTTATTTTAAAATAGTTCGTCTTTATGCGGTTAGTTGAATAAATGAAAAAAATCGATTAGTTGGTTTTATATGTAGTTTTCGTTCGGAATCTTTTGGACAATTAAATTGCTACTTGGGAATCAAATGATGTTTGTTTTATTTTTCAGTAAAAGTTAGTATAATCATTTTTTGTTTTAAAAATTTGGTGAATAACATGATTTAGCTTTAAGTATTAATGATCGTATATTCTTCGTTAGTGAAATTCGTCCGAATGATATTGATTCATTTAATGTTCTCAATTAAATTTGATGAATCCTTTCTTTATCTTTCTTCCTTTCTGAGCAATAATTAATAGTTATTATACTTTGCGAACTATTTTACAGATATTGTTCTAAAATGATTTAAATACAATGAATAAATAAATATTCATCGGACCATCGACAGAATATTCTAATCTTCTGTTTTTTTAATTTACAAATTTCATTGACTACATATCTAGGATATCAATCATGGAATGATAAATAATTAATTTTTATTTTAATAAAGAGTGTCAGTATGGGTGTGGGTGTGGGTGTGAGTATGGGTGGCGGTATACGTGTGTCAGTGGGTGTGCGTGTTAATATTATCTCAATTCACACCCACACCCACACCCAACGGTAACTTCGAAAAATTCGGTGACTTCAGGTGTTCATTCACCAGTCTAAGATTGATTTATTTTTCAATCATAAATTTAATGTAAAATAAATAAATCATAACTTACAATATCAACATCTATATTGGAGCAAGCTTTCTTCAGTTCATCTCTGAACTTCTGAAACTTGCTCCCATAACCTCATCCACCACAATAAACAACGTGTACTTTAACCATATTTATCTTGTATAGGTTAGTAACAACTGTATAAAAAAAAAAGACGAAGTATGTTGCTATGTATGTGCCAGTAAAAATTGTAATGTTTATAATGAGCACGTCGACGTTACCTTTTATACTCGAAATAGACGACATGTAATGGACAAAAAAAGATGCTTCGTCATGATCACCATGCATTTCTCTCGTTATCCTTTTCTTTTTCTTTTTTAATAGAATCCACTGTTGTTATTTATGTTGATGCTGTTTATGACAATGTCGAAATTGAAGGGTGTGGGTGTGGGTCCTTGTTAAAGAAAGGATTCACACTCACGCCCACACCCACACCCTCTCTCACGAACTGAGGTATTGCATGAGATGATTGCATTTTTAATCGCTGGATTTGAAACCACATCCACCGCCTTGGCATGGTCTATTCATCTGTTGAGCAAACATCCACGAGTCCAACAAAAACTCAAAGCAGAAGTGACGGGTGGCCTTGTTAGTCAAGATTTATCAATGGATCGTCTCGATTCATTCGTCTATTTGGATTGTGTTATTAAAGAAGTACTTCGCTTTTCTCCACCTGGTGATGTTGTACTTCGTACATTGACCGTTGATGATCGTCTACCGAAGAGTGGTGCTCAGTTATTCAAAGGAGATCAAATTGTTATTCCAATTCACACACTGGCACGAGATTCTCAACATTGGTCAATTTCTCCTGATCTTTTTGATCCAGAAAGATTTCCAGGCAAAGACAAGTACCATCATCCATATGCATTTATTCCGTTTGGCGGTGGTCATCGTCAATGTATTGGACAAGACCTGGGTCGATTTGAGCTGAAAGTGATCATAGCTCGATTAATACAACATGTTACATTCGGTGAGGGTGGTCCTGTTGTGAATGCAGGCGATCATTTAACAAGACTGACTATTATGCCTAAATATGTTGGCGTCACTATCGAGTTTAATTAATGCATATACACATACATTCTTCTTCATAAATAATTTTCAAAGGAGAACTTGAAACAATTTTAGTTCGTTATTCAGACGACTATTAGTCAAGTACAATATATAGTGTGACTTTTTATAATATGTACTCGTTTTTGCATTCCAATTAGTTAATCATAGATAGATAATATTCTTGAAAGTTTTCCATTATATAACTATTCACATCGTAAAGGCTAAATACCGAATTTGTTTAAGTTTTAAATGCAGATCATTTTACACGGACAGAATAAATGGTTTCCTCGTTGACACCTATTGACAATTGCTCTTAGAAATTTATACAGTGAATTGAGAATGATGTCTCGCATTAAGGGTGTGGATGTAAATGTGGGTGTATGGGTGTATGTAAAGAGAAGATCCATACTCATAACAAATCATCACATCCCGACACACACACACACACCCTCATTTCGTTTAGTTTTAGATTTTTTTCTAATTATAGAATAGATTGTGTGTTTCCTACGGATTTCTGATTGCGAAATTTGAAAGCAATTTTCATAAAAGAACCTTTTAGAAAACAAATGCAGCTTAAATTTCAATATTTTAGATTTTTTTTTCCATCGCAATGAATACATCTGATAGTAACTATACAATTCAACTGTTTATTTCCTTGTATGATACATTGATTTCTACGAATCTTTCTATATACTCAGTTTTGATTGTGCATTCGATTCAACCACTCTTCAGAAAATCAAAGAGCAGCGCAACAAAATATATTATTCATGTGATATCTTTTTCTGGGAAGTTAAAATTTGATATTTCTCTTGAATATCTCTTCTATATCGATTATAAACTTGGGTGTGGGTAAGAGTGAAGAGTAGATCCACGTTCACACTCACACCCACACTCTTACATTGAAAACTTTTTGTTTTTAATACAATAAATCATTGGCAATTTAGTCAGTCAGATACTAATGATTGATTAGCATATGACGTTAAACGGATTAAAGTTTATAGACGGAAGAAAATAATAACTCGTGCGTAACATACATATCTAGCTAACCACCCAGATACAAGAAGTCAGCTTTTCATTTCCGTTTATACCCTTAAAAGAGAACATCGAATTTCTGTTTTGATGATCAATTTAAAAAGCTATCTTTAAGTACTAGGTACTCTCGAAGACAACATAGTAATTTTCATTGCGATTTTCACATAACTAGTAAAAGTTTGGAGAGCCGGTGTTTTATTTGATATTTGAAGTCTATTAAAACTACTGTTAGAATGTGAACGAATTACTTCACAAGTATCGAAGACTTTGATTTTGTTTCAAGATTTTCTGAAATTCAAATAAGTTAATTCATATTATGAAGAATTGTTCATAAACAATGAACAATAACTAATGAATATTTACCAAAATTAATTTGAAGGAGTGGGACAAATATTTAGTTTCGAATTGGATGAGAAAATTTACAAAATGTTATGATATATCGGCGCTCATCTTATTTTTGATAATTCATTGAGTTAACAACTATGATTTTAGGTATAGTCCTCGCTAACTTGATTTTTGTCCGTAATTATTGTGAGATTTTCAAGATTGTAATAGTATTATGACCAGAAAAAAATTATAGAGAGGCATCAGCTCACTGACTATATGTGTAGAAAAGCGAAGATCTCGTGGGTCAGTGAGCGCGGGTGTAAGTGTTCATCTTCTCTTCTCTACACCCACACTCTTAATTTTTTTAATTTAACAGCAAACATTTAGAAGAATAACTTTCAGGAATTTAAAAATGTTCATGACTGATCGAAAATTTTTGCGAACAGATATGTAGGTGTGAAACTGATATTAACCCCACTCACACTCCTTTGGATCTGACAAGCTCTGATTTATGATCTTGCAAAAAACTTTGATCAAGCCATTATTAGATATTAAATGAAATAGAAAGGAATAGAAGTAGAAATTATCCATTCGTTACCTTAGCTATTTGTAATAAAACTTCATCTAAGGAAATAACATTTTGATTATCTATTTTCAGATATTATTTTTATACTTTTTAATCTCGAAAAAAAAACCATATTTATGCATAATGTCTATTAAATTCCCATGTGTTAAATGTGAATTAACAGGTAATTTCAATGGACTTTTTACTTGTAATGGTTCGTTTATGAAATTCTTTTTTTTCTAAGGAAATAAATTAATGGATCTATTCAGGATGTCGACAAAGTTTTTGTGCGAATCATAGTATAGATCATACAAATAAACTTCGTAATCGTTTTGAAGACTTTATTAATGAATTTACTTTAATTAATGATATATTTCATGATTATAAACAAAATTCCAATGATTTTCCATGGAAAAAACAAAAATAAGAAAAAGAAATAAATGAAATCAAATTACAAAAAACACAGATTTTCGTTTCTTTTTTCAAAGTTATTCGGAAAAAGATCTAGACGAATGAATGATACGACTGAACAAACTCAAAATACAATCAACAAAACGAATCAATCGAATTCATTCATCAAATGGATAAATTCCTTCATGTTAAAACTTGATGAGTTATTCAACTGCAAAGGATTCAAAATATATGTTATATCCATCCTTATTATTCTTATCCCATATTATTTTATCTCAAGTCAGAAAATAAATCCATTATTTTCCCAAATAGTATTCAGTGGGGTAGATGGGCCAATTCAACTTTTAAAAAATGAACATGTAGCTGAACATACGGGTTCATATTTTGTTCATGATTCATTTCGTATGAAT